AATAGAGGCCACTTATGATTCAACCTCAAGACTGATTTCTAAAAGTGTAGCTAGATGATTATAGCACAGTTTGGTTACAGATGAAATAGATTAAACTGATAGCAAAATTTAAGATATTTACTTGTAAACAGCATGAATTGTGAATTGAGATGCCAGTTTTCATAGTGGTAGTAAAATCATTGAAAGAACAATGATCAATTTTCAAGTACAAATAGTTCTGTGCTAATTTAATACATAAATCACCCACAAACTGTAAAAACTGTCACTTTTTGTTGTACCCTTCTGTGTCCTCCTGTTTTAACTGCCCCAGTCCTCCCCAAACTTGTTAAAATACAGATTGTTAGGCAGTCCCCCTTCCCCTGGACCCCAAGTTCCTTGTTTACCAGTTCTGGGATGAGATTCAAGAATTTGCATTTCTAACCAGTTATCAGGTGATGCTTATGTTGTGTTGGGAAAGGTGCTGTATTTTGAGAGCCAGTATATTAGAGGAAGGTACATTCTAGGGAACTTACAAGGAGCCAGGAGTGGCGATTTATGCCTGTAATCCCAGCGCTCTGAAGGCTGAGGCAGAGAATCAAGAGTTGGAGGCCAGGTTGAGCTGCATAGCAAGAACTTATTTATTTATTTATTTTTTTAAAAAAGACTAGCATAGTGGCTCATGCCACCTGTAATCCCAGCTACTTGGGAGGCGGAGATCAGGAGGATTGTGGTTCAAGGCCAGCCCAGGTGAATAGCAAGACCCCATCTCAACAACAAAAAAGCTGGGTGTGGTGGTGCACACCTGTCATCCCAGCTACACAGGAGGCATTAGTAGGAGGATTGCAGTTCAGCCTGGCCAAGGCAAAACCTGACATGAAAAGTAACTAAATCAAAAAGGTTTGAGGGCATGGCCCAAGTTGTAGAGCATCTGCCTAGCAAGCTCATGGCCTTCAGTTCAAACCCCTGTGCTACCAAAACAAAAAAAAAAAAAGAGCGAGAGAAACAAAAGTGAAAAACAGGAGTTAATAAGCTACGTTTAGTTATTTCTATAAACCATAGCAACCTGTACTAATTTACTGCGTTGACTTGGCGGTTAAAGCCATGAGAGTAGGTGGGCGTGGTGGTACACACATGTAATTGTAGTTACTTGGAAGGCAGAGGTAGGAAGATTGTGATTTGAGGCCTAGCCAGGCAAAAGCATCAGATCCTAACTAAAAACTAAACTAAAGCAACAAGGGCTAGGGACATGGCTTAAATGGAAGAGTGCTTGCAAGAGCAGGGGCTCTGAGTTCAAACTCTAGTACCAAAAAACAACAACAACAAAATCCAACACAAAACATGAGAGTTACCTAGGGAGATTCCTTATGGACTAACATGCCTTCTAGTCAAGAAATAGGAAAGCAGAGGAATTGTTCTAGTAATCGCTTTTCTGGCTGTAGTAATCACCAAGCAGTCTAGATGAGTAGGAGACAAATGTAATATGAGTTTTTAGAAGAAAGAAGGTAGATTACCCCATTAGACAAGGGAATTTAAGATTAATCATAAGGAAGATTTTGATATAGAGAGGAGTATGATTATGGGGATCCAAAATTAAAACAAGAATAAAAATACTAGTTTTATTTCTTTAATTGAATACATTACTAGACTTACTGATGGCATAACAGGCAAGGCCTTGCATTATTGTTCTCCCTTCTCTCCAAGATGGTCTCCTTCCCACTGTGTGCTTTTGCATGCACATGTCCACTGACATATTCTCTCCTGCTTTACTTGTAGTTCCTTGAACAAAACATGCTTTCTTATGCCTATGTGTTTTTTCATATAACTATTCTGAGAAAAGATGCCTTTTCTCACTTTCATTTGTTCCTCCTCTTTCATTCATTCACTGTTTGTCATTTAATATTACCTCACGATCCTCTCTGTAGAGACCAAATGATCTAGTCTATATTCTTTTCATGGCATGCTGTGTTCCCTCTTCTGGCACTAATTACTGTACAGTCTTTTATCTATATCAACACACACAGAGAACTTAACTTTTTAATCTCTGAGTCTTTAGCACCAAATATGGTTCTTGGAGGATAATAGGTATTTAGTACATATTTGTTGAATACAACAGTCATTTGGGGAAATGACTCCATCACTGCACCAATTCTTAATCCAAGTCCTAGCTACAGAGTGTAACCTAGGGCAAATTGTTTAAACTCTGTGAGCTTCAACTTCCTTTGAACCCTAATTCCTTTGTACATAGTACATTCTCAAAAATGATAGCTAGTGTTTTAATGTACAGTAATTACAGCTTAGATGAGCTTAACAATCATGTCATATCTATATGGTCAAGATGGGAAATTTTGAATGAGATGATTAAACAAGTAATTCATAAGTGGTTAAACCTAAATTTTCATAACTTTTGGAAGGGGTTCACTATTCAAGGACAACTCAGTTGAGGATCTTGATGGTATGCTGATCCTTGCTTGGAAGAGTTTCTCTTGCTAAGTAGAATCCTAAAAGTTAATATTTGCTAGACAAAATGATAATTAAAAAGGAATGTATATTAATTATTCAGCTGAATCCAAAAGTTCAGATACATAATTCAGAATTGAAGGTGAGCGAGGAAGGAAAGGAAGGGAATGGTTCAAAATACTTGTGGCTTTTTAAAATTCAGGTTCAGTGTAACTAAACTGTGTTGTAGCCTACAAAAAATGCCTTCATGACGTTAGACTATATCAGCAGAAAAATAACCACTAGGACAAGGAAGGAATTATCCTGCTCCATCTAGTAAAGATCATGTCACTTGGGAAGTATTGTGGCCAATTCTGGACACTGTCTCTGAGAAGCATACTTCTAGCAATGTAACCATGTAAGGCTGAAGGGACCTAAGTCATAGAGTACACAACTAGTACTGAAAGGTAGAAGTTATAAGAAAGCACATTTCCAGTTAAAACAAGGGGAAACTACTTTAGTAATTAGGGTAGCAGATCTTTTAGTCATTGAGAGGGTTAAGGAATGCTTCCATATGTAGCAGGAGTGTGAGTATATGTATATTTTTCTAAAAGATTAGAGAAGTTGATAGAGTTGAATGAATTGAGATACTGTCAACTTAAGGAAAAGTTCTTAACTTTGATTTTGTTTACAGCATATTTTTATAAGTAAAGTTTTTGGTACCATACACATGAAGGAATAAAAAAGTAAACATTTAAAAATATAGGTCTCAAAAAGAAAAAATGAACTTCCATATTTATCACAGTCTTCATTGCCCTCCCTCCAAAATTGTTATTGTTTACTTTTTTCCTTATGTTTTCTCAAATAGTCATTGCTCTAACTTTTCCTAAGTTAGTTAGTTAGATAGTCCCTAAGGCCTCTTACCACGTTTGTAGCAAGTCTTACATTGTTATGTGACTGCTCAAGTAAACATTCAGTCTAAAGTATACAATTGTAATGAAAATGTAGCCCCAGTTGTAGCAAAATTGCATTTTATAAAGTAGTCCTAATTTGATAGTACACCTTTGACAAGTTTATAGTATGCCAAAGTTCCACAGCATTCATGGAGAGTCACTTGTGTAGCAATGATTCGTAGTGGCAAAGAATTGAGAATGGAAAATAAAATAAAAGATCAGAAAAAGATTCTAGAGAGCTATTTCTGCTTCCCGTTTTCCCTCTACACTCTTTTCTTCAAATCTGGAGATAAACTACTATATCCTAAAGAACTATATTTTTAGAACCACAGGGTCCTTAATTGCCCTTTTCATCAGCCTTACTTTCTTCTTCCGCTTCATCCCTCTAAACAGAATTTTTATGCTTCCCTAAGGAGAGTCCCTTTGTGTTGAATTTCATGATTATGACTAATGTAAATTGTGTATGTGGCTTCATAAAATGTAGTATACATACAAGAATGTTACTGATGAGCCAAGTTTCTAAGCACATGATTAATGAATTTAGTGTTAAGTAACTAATATTGTATTTTTAAGTGTCAAATAAATATCATAGTATCTATTATAGATTATGTTGTTATTTTTTCCAAATACCCGTGCCTGACAAGAAGATACACATTGATGAGTGAAGGTATTAGGGAGGGTGGGGAGAAAGAAGTGAGTAAAAAATTTTACATATAAATAAAAAGAAGAGTCTAAAAGTAATTTTTGTTAGCTTTATTTGATAACCTACCTCTTGGAATTGTGACAGGCTAATAATGAGTTTGACTATTGAAAGAGAGTAATTACTATTTTATTTGAAGTATTCCCTTATTGAAAACATCAGCTTGCATCATTCAGGAGGACTTTTTATTTCACTTGTTATCTGAGTTTAAAATTCATTTATATGTATATTGTATGTATTTCTACTTGTATACATGTATGTTAGTTATCTTTCTGTTACTGTAAAAAAAAAAACCAGAGATAAAATCAACCTAGAAAAGGGGAAAGATTTACTTTGACTCATGATTTCAGAGGTTTCATTTCAGTACATGGTCACTTTGCCTCGTTGCTTTGGTTGTGTTGTGGCACAGTACATCATCAGTGGAGCATGTGACAGAGGAAGCCTGTTTACTTCATGGTTTGCTGGGAAGCAAAAGAGAGAAGAGGAGAGACTAGGGTCTCCAAATCCCCTTCGCTGGCATGATCCAGTGACCTAACTTCCTTTTACTAGGCCTCATCTCCTAAAAGTTCCACCACTTCCCAGTAGCACCACAGGATGGGACCAAGCTTTCCACAGATAGGCTGTTGAGAGACATTTAAGATCCAAACTATAGTAACTTATATAGCATAATAATTTTTAAGGCATTAAACAGATTATAAGTAAATTGCTTTTATGCTTATGAAAATTATTTTCAAAATTGTTTTTGATATGTACAGGGTGCTGGGCCTAGAGTATTTAAATACATCAATGTACTGTTTGACTTGCTTCTATGCCTAGTATTTTGCTTCCACAGAGGAAGTCTGGTTTGCTTTAGAGCTACAAGTAACATGCATATGTGTGGCATTTTTATTTCATCTATTGCTTCATGCTTTTTTTTTTTTTCTCTTCTTCAGTATGATGGAACAGGATTCCAGGAGAATGAAACCTAGTGTGAACCCTGCAAATCAAAGGAGGCATCTGTTAGGATTTTCTGCTAAAGAAGTGCAAGAGACATCAGATGGTATCATGCGGAAAAACAGCTACAGGTTAGATGGCGAGTCGTTCTAACTGATTTAATGAAACCGAAACAGAATTTGATATAGTATCACTTTATATTTAAATTGTTCATATACAGTTTTACCTAGTAGATTACCGAGGCCATTAATAAATTTTATTTTTTTACTTACAAATTTTTTTTTGCAGTACTGCAGTTTGAACTCAGGGCAAATGCTTGCTTGGTAGGTGCTCTACCACTTGAGCCACACTCCCAGCCCCAATGAGTTTTATTATTAAGATCAGTTTTAAGAATAAATCTACTTTGAAACCTTTTCCAGTTTTAGAGCTCTTGTTGAGATGTGATCATAAAATCTCAGTTTGTGTGCATTAATATACACACATATTGAAACATGTACAATATCTTCCATTATTTTATCTGTCATATGTTTTTACATTTAATATATCTAATATTTGTTAGAGTATCATCTATAGGTAGATATGATATCCTAGAATAATATGGTTGAATCTATTTTCAGTCACTAGGTAAAATTATTTGTATCCATTTGTTGTGATCTCTTCTGGACCCCTCTCTTGTTATAATTTAACACTGACTTGGTAAATTTTCCTATTGCTTATCGATAGCAAAAGACATAAGAAAATCCAACTTTTATATTCTGTTAACCAGAGGATGATTATAATAGATATTTAGAGCTATATACTTTCTTTTTTTTTTAATTATTCATTTATTCACATGTCCAGACATTGTTTGGGTCATTTCTCCCCACTGCCTTCCTCCCCCACCCTCTCCCCCTCTCTCTCCCCTCCTCCCCTCCTCAGTTCCACACAGGTCCTGTTCTGCCCTTATCACTAATTTTGTTGAAGAAAAGACACAAGCATAATAAAGAAGACAAAGTGTTTTGCTATTTGAGTTAGGGATATAAAGCTATATACTTTCTGATAAACATTTCTGTGGCTATCAGTCAAATGAAGCCAGGGCCTTAAATAGTAAGACAGAGGGAGGCCACAGTATGGCCCAAGAAAATGTTCAAAAATTATTAAAGATTCACTTGCTTTTAATTTTTATAAGCCGAGGGCTATAGAGAAGTCATTCTTCCTGATTTTTGCTCTCTTTTTATCCATACTGTTGAATTAGATTATGACTATAACTGCAGGCTTATCTCCATTAGCCTACATGAAAAAAAATGCTACTATTCATTTTTTGTCTTGAAATTTTGTTGTGAAAAGGATTCTGAAGAGCCAGAGGACTATGCATATGTCAGTAATGCGATACAGCATAGCATGTGATAGATGCTATGATATTGGAAAGCATTACAAAAACATTTTCTGCTTCTTTTAACGTCAAAATTTGTCATATGTCTGAAATACTGATATTGGCAATCACTTAACAATGTCTGTGAATATGGGTAGAGTTTAATAGTGTCTTTAATTGTTCTAAGTAATTTTTCCAGGTTTGCCATACCTAGTCTGTAATTTTGAGTTCTGTTGTCCATATGAAGTCTATCAAAAATTCCATTTTAAATTTATTAGTCTTTGAATTTGTGAGAATTTAGATAGTTTATTACTACAAAGTAAAACAAGTTATTAATTTAAGTACTTGAAATTATATTTTAGGTAACCTTTATGAGAACATTAGATGTTTTGTACTACCCACAGTAAATGAAACCTCAGGCATTTGTTCCCATTAGTAAGATAACATGGTGGGTCCTGGAAAACACAGTAGGCTGATCATACTAGTTCAACCTAGAGGTGTGAATAACTTTCAGACTGAAATTTATCAGCTTTCAAAATAGTGCCTGAAGTGTGAACCAACTCTCTGTCATCCACCCAAAGTTGCCATTGATTGTACGTAATCTAGGCTACTGGTCTTGATTAAAAGCAAGAGATTATAGATTCTTTGCTACATACATGTCTCTTGAGGTACCTAAGATTATTGTAGAGCAACTTGGGGCTTTTAAACAAATGTTAGTTCATGAATTTGATGTTCTTGCTTTTATTAGTGTAAGTACTGAATAAAAAAAAATAAAAAAATGTGAATCATTTTAAAGCACCAAATATGAAGTTCCGAACTGAATTTAGATGTTTATTTATACTCAGTCATTATACTTGTGTTTTTTTCCTTAAACTGTGTCACCATTTTATTAATTTTCTGTCTTTTTAAGGTATATTTAAGTTTTTAATTGGCACATAGTAATTGCACATATCTACAGGGCACAGTGTGACATTTTGATACCTGTGTAGAATGTATAATGATCAGATCTAGATAGTTAGAATATCTATCACCTGAGACATTTATCATTTCTTTGTGTTGAAAACATTCCAAATCCTCTCTACAGCTATTTTGAAATATTCAATTAATTGTGGTCAGCCATAATTGCCCTCCTGTGCTACAGAACATTAGAAACCATTCCTTTTATTTAGCCACACTGTGGTACCTCTTAAGTATCCTCTCTCTCTGTCCATTCCTTTTCCAGGCTCTGATTACTGCTATACTATTTTCTGCTTCTGTAATATTTTTTTTTAGCTTTCACTTATAAGTGTGAACATACAGTATTGTCATTCTGTGCCTGACTTATTTTACTTAACACAGGGTCCTCTAGTTTCATCTAGGTATGGCTGAATAATATTCCATTAGGTGTATATATACATTTTCTTTATTCAGGTATCCATCAGCAAACACTTAGGCTAATTCCTTATCTTGGCACGAATAGTGTTACAATAAGCATGGGCATGCAGATTTCTCTTAGTCATATGGATTTCAATTCCTTTGAATATATACCCAGTAGTAGGATTTCTGGGTCATATGCTAGTTCTGCTTCTGCTTTTCTGTGGAACCTCAATACTGTTTTTTGCAATGGCTATCCTAGTTTGCATTTCTGCCAGCATGCCTCTTTCTCATCCTTGCCAGCATTTGTTTTTGTCTTTATGATAATAGCCATTCTAACTGGGATGAGATTGTATCTCATAGTGGTGCGTTTCCCTAATGATTAGTGATGTTGAGCATTTTAGTATATACTTGTTGACCACTTGTGTATTTGCTTTTGAGAGGTAGTCAGGTCATTTGCTCATTTTTAAATTCAATTATTTGGGTTTTTTTTTTTTTTTGCTGTTGAGTTGTTTGAGTTCCTTATATATTCTGAATATCAGTCCCTTACTAGGTCAATAGTTTGCAGATCTGTAAGTTGTTTCTTCACTCTATTGATTATATTCTTTGCTATGCACAAATATTTTAGTTTGCTATAATTCCATTTGTCAATATTTGCTTTTGTTACCCATGCTTTTGGGGTCAGTATAGAAAAACAAAATGTTTGCCCAGGCCAATATGTTGAAGCATGTCCTCTAAGTTTTCTTCTAGTCGTTTCTTACATTTAAGTCTTTGATCCATTTTGAGGTGATTTTTTTTTATATGGTGAAAGATAGGGGGGTCTCACTGCTTTCTTCTACATATGGATATCCAGTTTTTTCAGCACAATTTATTGAGACTTTCTTTTATCCACTGTATATTCTTGCTGCCTTTGTCAAAAGTACATGAATTCTGTACATGAAATGTACTCTGAAGTATATGAATTTGTTCTGAGCGCACTATTCTGTTCCAGTGGTTGGTGTGGCTCTTTTCATGCCACTACTATTCTACCTTGGTTACTATAGCTTTGTAGTATATTTTGAAGTCAGGTATTATAATACCTTCAGCTTTGTTCTTTTTGTTCAGGATTGCTTTGACTATTTTGGGGTCTTTTGTGGTTTCACACAAATTTTAGGAGTGTGTTTTTTATTTCTTTGAAGAACAAGATTGGTATTTTGATATAAATTGCATTGAATCTTTTGATTTCTCTGGATGGTATGGACATTTTTCTTGACATACTGGGATTTGAACGCAGGGCCTTGAGTTCTAACACTTGAGCTATGCACCCAACCCATTTTTTTTTTTTGCTTTAGTTACTTTTCAGATAAGGTCTTACATTCTTTGCCCGGGTCTGCCTTAGAGTGAGATCCTCTTATCTATGTCTTTCACATAGTTGGGGTTACGGATGTGCACTTCCATTCCCAGCTTGTTTATTGAGATGGAGTCTCGCTTTTTTTTTTTTGGCCTGGGTTAGCCTCAAACCATGATCCTCCTGATCTCTTTCCTCAAGTAGCTGGGATTACAGGTGCGAGACACTGTGCTCTGCCTAGTATAGACATTCCAGCAATACTAATTCTTCTAATCCATGAACATGGGATATCTTTCTATTTTTTGTGTGTGACCCCTATGAATTCTTGTGTCAGTGTTTTATAAATTTCATTGTAGAGTTCATTTACTTCCTTAAATTTATCCTTAGATACTTTAGATTTTATTGACTTATTTATTATAGCTGTTATGAAGGGGATTGTTTTCTTTTGCAATAATTTTGTTGTTGGTGATTTTTTTTCAGTTCTGGAGATTGAGTCCAGGGCTTCATGTTTGCTAGGAAAGTGTACTACCACTGAGATATTCCCCAAGCCCAAAGCTACTGATTTTTTATGTTGCTTTACGTTATGTGATCTTACTGAATTTGTGTATCAGTTCTCACAGGTTTTTTTTTTTTGGTGGAGTCTTTAGAGTTTTATCCATATAAAATTATTTTGTCTGCAAACAGCACAGTGTGGCCTCTCCCTTTACTATCTGAATGCCCTGTGTGTTCTCTCTTTCCTTATTGCTCTGGCCAACACTTACTCTAAATTGAATAAGAGTAGTGAAAGTGGACATCCTTGTCTTGATCTTAGAGGAAAATATCCTTTTCTCCATTCGTATGATATTGGCTATAGTTTGTAATATGTAGGCTCTATTATGTTATGTTGAGGGTACATTCCTTTTATACCTAATTTGAGTGTATATTTGTGTGTGTGTGTGTATGGTACTGGGATTGAACCCAGGGCCTCATGCTTGCTAGTGCTTTGCTACTTGAACTGTGCCCCAACCCTTTTGTTTTCATTTTGTTTTTGAGATAGGGTTTTGCTAACTTTGCCCAGGCTGGCCTTGATTTTGAGATTCTTCTGCTTCAACCTCTCAAATAGCTGGAATTACAGTTCTGTGTTGTACTTAATTTTTTGAAGGTTTCTTTTCTTTTTAAAAACAATTATGACAGGATGTTGAATTTTATCAAATGCTTCTTCATCTGTTGAGACAATCATAGGATTTTTGTTTTTCATGCTATCGATGTAGCATATTTATTGATTTACATGTGTTGAACAATCCTTGCATCTCTGGGATGAATCCTACTTGATCATGGTGTGATATATTTAATGTGTTGTTGGATTTGAGTTGTTATTAGTTTGAGGATTTTTGTTCCTATGTTTATCAGAGATTTTGGTCTGTAGGCTTCTTTTTTTGTTATGTCCTTATCTGGTTTTGATACAGGGTAATGCTAGCCTTGTAGAATTGAAAGAATTTCCTCTCTTTCAAGTCTTTGGACTAGTTTGAGAAGAATTGACAATAGTTTCTTTTCTTCTTTCTTTCTGTTCTTTCTCCTTCCTTTCTTCCCTCCCTCCCTTCCTCCTTTCCTCCCTCCTTCCCTTCCTTCCTTCTCTTTCTTTCTTGACTAGGTATCACTAAGTTGTTCAGGCTGGCCTTGAATTTGTGATCCTACTGCCTCAGCCTCCAGAGTAGATGGAATTATAGGCATATGACACCCAGTTTGCATTAGTTCTTCTTTAAAGGATTGGTGAAATTGGTTAGTGAAACCATGCAGTCCTGGGCTTTTCTTTTTTAGGAAACTTTTTATAACTCATTCAGTCTCTTTACTTGTTACTGGCCTGTTCAAGTTTTCTCTGTCTTCATCTTTATTTTTTAAATATACATCTTATAGTTCATTTTTTAGGAGAACTGTAGTTCAGATAAAAAGGAATAGATTATAATCTCAGAGTTTATAATGTATTTTCCTATCATTTAGTAACTAACTGCATATATTTTTTCAGTGTCAAGAATTTGTAGTAGGTAAATAATATGACAATATAGCTGGGTGGAGTGGCTCACTCCTGTAATCCCAGTTACTTGGGAGGCAGAAATTGGGAGGATCATGGTTTGAAGCTAGCCTGGGCAAAAAGTTAATGAGACCCCATTTCAACCAGTAGCTGGGTATGTTGGTGCACACCTGTCATCCCAGCTATGTGAAAGGCATATATAGGAGGATTGCTGTCTAGACTGGCCTGGGCGAAAATGTGAGACTTTCTTCCAAAAATAACTGAAAGGCAGTATTATTTATCAACTAAGCTGGGACAATTTTAAGAAGGAAAAGTAGTGGTAGTAATAACTCTCTTGGATAAACAGGAAAGGATGGTCACCTTCCATATAAGGCATAAGCATAACCTGTCTTTATTCTACAAATTTTCATTAACTCTAGCTCTCTAGCATTGTCCAGAGTTTAACTGATATAGAATGGCTTGCAAGCAGAATAGAACTCTGACCATCTCTGAGTTAGTGTGTGTCTGATTGTCTCCAGTTGCATGTTGGCTTAGATTCTCCCTGTCCTTTCTACTTAACTCCATTAATCCCTGCCCTGGTATTTTTCTTATCAGATCTTTTTTCTTTTCCCAAAATTATTTTTGGCTGTTAGAACAAAGCCATTCAGCCCAGGTGTGCAGAAATCATTATTAAAGTTTATCACAAAATTATAGTTCAGAAATGTATCTTCAAAAGCACTTTTGGATTTTTCTTGTGGACTACAGTGTTTGGATTTTTCTAAGTATTCAGGCATGATTGTTAAAATAATACACATAACAGGTCTTTGTTCTTGATAATTTTTTTTTTAGTGTGTTATGGCGTTACCAAGCACAAGACAGATTTTTTCCTTTCTCCCTCAGCTCTCTGTTTTAGACTGATCTCTTTTTATGTATACAGTCATTACCTGTGTACCAACATCTCTGTTTTATTCCAAACATCTTTAATTAATTAAGCATCCCAAAGAGAGGTCATCAAGAATGTTCCCAGTGCAAGTTGCAGGGAAGAATGTCCTATATATCTTCAGCTGTTTCTTCTTTTCCCTTGTGTGTGCTATACACAGAAGTCTTTGTTGCTTTTTTTTCTTGAAATTAGTTTTCCATTCTGCCAAAATTATTTTCACGAAGGGCCAATGTCTTCAGTGTTGCCAAATTCTATGGAAGCTTCTGACTTTATCTTACTTGACCTTTTCTCAGCATGTGGCTTGGGCAAATCATTCTCTCTGAAAGAATTTCTTTTTGTGTTGTTATTTTTTTTTAGTTTTCCTTCTTTTTTACTGGTGCTGCTTCATAGTCTTTCCTTTTTTTCCTTTTTTGCAGTGCTAAAGATTGAACCTAGGGCCTTGTGCATGCTAGGCAAGTGTTCTGTTACTGAGCTACATCCCTTGCCCTTGGTATTTTGAGACAGGGTCTTGCTGTATAGCTCAGGTTGGCCACGAATTCATTGTGTAACCCACGCAGGCCTTAAGTCGATTGTCCTCCTGCCTTAGCTTCTGAGTGCTAGGATTACAGACATGTGCCTCCATGTTTACCTCATAATCTTTCTTTTTTTTAAAGTAAAATCCTTCCCAGTTTCTGTAGAGACAATTTCTCCTTATCATTCAGGCCTTGACTTAAATACCATTTCCTTCTCAGTATTGTGATTTCTTTGTTTGGTTCTTTCATAGCACTTACCACAGTTCAGATTTATTTTATGTGTTTGTTTTCTTGTATTGGGTCCATCTTTCTTGTTAGGTCTTTGAAAGCAGAGATTTCATTTTTCTGTTCTCTGTTGGATTTCCAACACCTAGAATAATACCAGGCATACAGTTGGTATTTGGCAAATATTTGTTGAATGAATAAATGAAAAGTGTGAATCTTGCCATGTTCAATTTTATATGTTTGCATATTTTCTTTTGGTATTTTAGCAACCTAGTTTTATAAATCCAGAGCATCTTATATGAGGAAATTTAGGACAAATCTAAGATTTCTTAGTGATAGAGACTAAATTGGCTGACTAAAGAAATAAGTAGCAATAATGTCCCCCAGATCAGATTTTAATTTCAGTTCAGGTTTTGCTCCCTATGTCATACCTAGATATGAATTCACATGATATAAATAGGCATGATGGTTAGGAAAGTATATTTTTAAGCTAATGGAATTATCGGTTAATGTCATTCTAGCATTTTATTAGTGACTCAGATTCACCCATTCTAAAATTTATGTTCAGCTTTTCAGCTCTTTCACTTTTCTCTTGCAGAATATTTTATGCTTATTCTGTTTTAGAGATACTGTTGAGTTTTGTTATCATGGAAAAGTGAATGACCACCAATCCTTAGGCCTGATTAATTACACTGTCTTTCCTGTCTACCAGTTGATTTTTCTTTAAATTTGCTATATTACTGTGCCACCTCCTCTGTCCCAGCAGGATTATATTTGCCTTGAGCTCATTGAAGACATGAGCCATGTATCATCTTTGTATTCCTAATTTCTGGAACATATTAATTGCTCAATAAATGGTAGCTAGGTAAATGTAAATTACTCTGCTATTTCTGTAGAAATTCAGAGATATTATTCATTCACTTGACGGTGGTATATGGTTGGTTAATAGTTTCTCCTTTTCTAATACATTTACCTCTTCTTTACAGTGTATTCTATTTAATATATATTTATTCAATGAAAAGTTAATAGTAGTGATGATTGTCTTACAGTAAGCTTCCTAGGAATTTAAGATACAAAGAAATAAATTTTGTTTTTGTGTGTTTCAGATACGATCATTCTGTTTCAAATGACAAAGCACTAATGGTGCTTACTGAAGAACCACTACTTTATATTCCTCCACCTCCTTGTCAACCCCTGATTAACACCACGGAATCGCTCAGGCAAGTGTTGTAGATGAGTGCAGAAATATCTTAGTGGACTAAGATGGTGGAACCTAGAGAAGTATCTGTTTAGATTTATTAAGAGACTGAGAAAAATCTCTGAATTATTTATTGGATAACCATAGGCCTATCAGTTGTTGTCTAGTTTCTCTACCAACCTGACAGAAATGGTGGTAGGCCTATTTAATTTGAATCTTGCTCACTTAAATATGTCTTATTGAAGAACTACGGAATGAAATTAATGTTAAAACTCAGGGTTAGTGCTAGGCTTGTGGATAGTAGCATAGCATAAGGTACCTTTTTCTTCAAATTAGGAAGATAATAACTTGAGGATATATGGTTCTGGAGATGCTTCCTCATTATTGCACCCTTCTTTATCAGCTTTTCCTTTGATTTTTTTTTTTTTCCCCTCTGCTTTTTGAGCCTATCCTTGAACCTCAAAAATTGCCTCAGTGTGTGTGTGTGTGTGTGTGTGTGTGTGTGTGTGTGTTTGTTAAGTAATAATCAACTATGATTAAATAAGTGTAGTTTAACATCTTTACTACTTCACTAGAAGTAAAAAAAAATAAAGGGAATTTATATTGAACTAGCCTTTTTAAATTCCCACTGTTGAAAACTTCAGTTGTTATTTTTCCCTCGGCCAAGCAAGTTCATTGTTTTTCTTTCCCCAAAAGAGCATTACTTTGAAAGGATGTAATACATCCATTTGTTGTTAAGAGTCCTATTCCTTGTTTTTTCCAGTGTCTCAGCTGTTTGTTTATTCATAGCCCAGAAGCAAAACAGTAAACATAATTTTTGTGTAAAAACCTTTGTGTCTGATATTTATATTTGGCAAAAATTAGCTGTGGTTTTCTTTGAATTTTGAACTGATGATTGAGGGGACTACTATATACAAATGTATGTCTTATTAAAAACATTAAGTGTCTTAGCTTCTTCAATCAGAAAGCAATATTGAGTAATCAGGTATGTGGAATACTCTTTGAAACCTACAGAGTGATTAAATTCATTTTCAACCAATGGGTGAAACGTTTATTTCTTAGAAATATGTTTAATTAATTAAACTGTTTTCTTTGTAGGTTGAATCATGAACTCCGAGGTTGGGTCCATAGACACGAAGTGGAAAGGACCAAGTCAAGACGAATGACAAATAATCAACAGAAAACCCGTATTCTTGAGGTTTGTTTTTGCTTGTCTTTGAAGAAGGCTGGCATATTTATTTGAAGGCTTCCCCCCTTCTCTGGAATATTTGGGAAGCTTAAGCTTTACCTACATCCCACTGCCTCCTGCTACTTCTGATGTAGCTGTCATTGCCACTAAAGCCCTCCTCCAGGTTTTATGGCACTTAGTTTAGACTTTATAGCACTAATATTTCCTATCCAGGCATAATGTTGTTTCTGGCTTTCTCCTTCAAATTTGCTTCAAGCCAGGAATTCCTACATATGGCTATTGAGACCAAATGTTTGTGGCACAAATTATATCATAAATAATACTGTTTATCTCCTCTCTTCTTAGAATTTTTCAAAAAGAGAATGTTGAAACGTCAGGCAGTTTAGAAGTGAGGGCACCTCTGTGGAGGGCTTTATGAACTTGGAAAACTTTTCAATAGAGATTCTGTCTTAATGTTGTTTGCCACAAAGTACCATTTATAGTCATTCCATCATTTGTCAAATATTTGTTATGACTTCTGAAGCACTCAACTTAGCAACTAACACCATGTAATTTCCCAATAAACATTATCTATGATAGCGATAATGAACCAGGAAGTCTTCTAGACCATGGGAATATAGTCATAAGTATGATAAAGTCCCTACCTTCATGGAGTTTACATTCTAGTGAGAAAGCTAAACAATAAGCAACTAAATAAATGCATACATATATTCAAAATTAGAAATAAGTTCTGTAATGACAAATAAATCAAGGTAGAAGGCTAGAATTTAAATTGAGACTCTGAGATTGAGTCATCAGAGAAAGCTTCTCTGAAAAAATTCCACTTCAGTAAGATATTGTCAAGGTAATTAGTGCTGGCAATTATAACAGTCTCAAAATCTCCTTAGCTGAATAGAATAAAACTTGTTCTTACTCATGCAAAGTCTAACATAGCTCTAAAAATGGCTCTTCTTTAAGCAGTATCTTCGGGATCCATGTTTCTTCTACTGTATAGCCTAACAACTTGAGATCTTTTGGTCTGGGTTTGGGAAAGAGAGCGTGTAGATGATTATGTAAAATGTTTTAGGGATCAGCCTGGACTTTAACCATTGTTTGGTTGGCTAAAACTGTCACTTTGCTTAGTCTACTGCAAGGGAGACTGGGAGCATGTAGACTTCAGGAAAAAGAAAAGGGTTTGTGAGAATATTGCTTTTCCCTTACATAGAGACTACAGAATAAACAAGGTGAAGATTTAGGGGAATATCTGGTGAAAGAGCTTCCAGACAAAGGGAACAGCCGATGCAAAGACCCTAAGAAGGGAACAGTTTACATATTTGAGGAACATAATGAAGTTGAATAAGGCTGGAATATGGTGACTGAGGGGAGAGTGGAAGGCAATGAGATCCAAGAGGTTGCAGGGTGAGATCATAGCAAATTTCATAGGCTCTGGAGAGAACTTTGGTTTTTATCCTAGGCATAAAGGGACATCATTGAAAGGTTTGAGTAGGGAAGTGACTTGATGTGACTTTCATTTATTTATTTTTTATTGTTGTGCTGGGTGGGGGTACGTTGTGCTGTATATTTCAAAAAAGATGATTCTAGCAGTCACACAAAATTGACTTGTGACAGGGAGCTTGTGTGGAAGTAGGGATGCTAGCTAAGATACCATTTCAGTGTCCTAGATGAGAAATCTTTGGGGCCCATACTAGTGTGATAGATGTGTAGGTGGAAGGAATTACTTGGATACCAAATATGTTTTGCAAGTAGAGCTGTTAGAAATTGTTGCTGTAAAATAAGAAGGAATTAATGATAATTCATATGCCTTAGGTACTAGATGAAGTGAAATGCCATTTACTGAGACCAAGAGTCACGAAGGACGAGTTAGAGACAGGAGTTATAAATTTTAAATATGTTAAAGTTGATATTACTATTACACATTCAAGTGGAGAAGTCTAGTGGACAATCAGATATCCAGGCCTAGAATTTAGGAGAAGATTGAGAGTAGAAATTTTAACTACAGAGGAAAGAAAAAAGAGTGAAGAACTGAGCCCTGGGCCAACTCCAACATTAGAGGCTGAAAGAGAAAGAAGAACCAGCACTTGAAGAGAGATAGGTGGCTGGCCAGTAAGATAGGAGAAAATGTAGGACAGTGGTGCCCCAAAACCAAAAAAGAGTTTTTTAAGAAGGTATATATGGTTAACTGTTACAGAGGCTAAGAAATATAAAGATGATGACTGAGAAATTACCTTTGAAATTGACCACTAGAACTTGTTGGTGACTCAATGCTTGTGTTATTGTAGTAGTGATGATAAAAGCCCAATTGAAGTGGATTTATAGAAGTGATAACAGATGAGAAAGTGGAGAAAATTATTTCAGGTGATCCTCACAAATGTGAATAGAGTAATGGAGTAGCTGTAGTAATCAACAAAGAGGTTTTATTTTTTGATGAAAAATATTTCACTTGGTTTACATGTTTATATGCTAATGGCAATATCTTAACTATTTGATTTTTTTTGTAGACTAATTAGAAAGATTATGTGATACATTCAAAAGTATAGTAAGCCAGATCTGGAGGCACATGTCTGTACTCCCAGAACTCAGTAAGCTGAGGCAGGAGGGTCACCTGAGCTACACAGCAAGTTCTAAGCCAATCTGAGCTACATGGTGAGAACCCTGTGTCAAAAAAACAAACAAGAATACCAAAAGAATATCAACAGACAAGGGCTTTTAACAACATTTTGAACTATTTTCATCTATAAAGTAATTAGAGCTTGTGTAGGTGAACTGAAGCTCTGACTTCCTAACATTTTTAATTATCCAGTATGTGCTTTTCCAGACCTCTTCAATACCTTTCATTCACCTACCGTGGCAACTTTATTGCTGTTAGTACTCCTAGAGACTAGGAGTCTCTAGGACTCATTGCCAGTGTCCTGGGTGCCTCACAGTCCCAAAGCTGCTTATTGCTACTGAAATGCAGAGTCTAGTACTGCAAAAACTTGTGCCAAATATTATACATCAGCTCTACCATACCAAAGGAATTTCTCTCCTTCTGCTTTTCAAATACAGAGCACATGCGTCTTACTGGTGGAACTTAAATCTATATCTAGAATCCTGGTGACTAAAAGAGTTTGGGTAATGTAGTTTTCAGCTTTCCATCCTTTGCTATGTAGGAGAAGAACACAGAAAACAGGAACAGGCCATTGCAAGTAGATAATCCCATACAGCTGGGATTTTGTTCATGATTCTGTTTTAGCATTTATCACATTGTGTTGTTTATATATTATGCACATTTGTTTTCCCAGTTAAACTCTTAAGCTTCTTGAAGGAAACCAGATGTTTGACTTTCAAGCCTTACTGCATGTATTGCATGTAGGTGCTTTGATTGTAAAAGATGGATGTATGGACACAATAATGAATGGATGCCAGGAGAATTATCTTTAAACAGTTACTTTACATCTAAGATACTGTTAAAAGTAACAATAAGTTCACTTTGCAATGTAATAGTAGTACTATGCTCTTGAATTGATACCCTTACAAAATTTTTCTGAAGAAGAGCTTACAAAACTGCCAGGAATTTTAAAAGGCATAGTGCAAAGCAGATGCTGTGTAAAGAGTTTTCTATCATAGCATATGTGGACTACTAATGGTTCTAGACTGAACTGTTCTCTTGCCAACAGAGTTACCATTGATATCTCTTCAGTGAGATCTAGTCCATGGGTACATTTAGGCATGAAGATATTTGTGTTTAATTCAGTAAACAGTGGAGGTCTAGTTTCACAGGAACTTCTCTTTGGTAACATAATTATTTTAGACAAACTTAAATTGTTATATGACTGATAGTGTATGTATGGCTTTGTTTTAACACTTGTAGTGCTTGGACTAAGTTTTCATTCTTTTTCTTTAAATGTCTTAATCTCCATTAGACACATCTCTAAGCCCAGGATGTGACCTAAACAGTTCTAATTTCTGTGTTGGTATTTATTACATGATCTTAATAGTTATAATAGCCATGAAAAATATGAATACTTTAAAAAGCTTAATAAATGTAAATTAGTCAGTATAGGAAGTTCTTCATGTAATTTCACTAGACATTAAACTTCTTTTTCTCTTCCAGGGTGCTCTGGAACAGGGCTCAAATTCTCAGCTGATGGCTGTCCAATACACAGAAACCACTAGTATCAGGTAAGGAACTTTTGGTCAGGGAATTTTAAATAACTTATATTTTTAGTAAAGCTGAAGTCCACACTTCCCTCTTGCCTTAAATTTGTCCTCATCTGTGACTTTCTTATTACTTAATATAACAGATACTACTTCTGAGTAGTTAGAGTAAGGCCAGATAATTTTGAAAGGTCACTTCTCCCAAATTCCTTAAATACAGATTTAGTCAGAATGTTGTTTATCATAATTTTTCTGAAAATCTCAAATACACATAGCTCTCCTACCCCCAATTTGTATGTATTTCATAAGCCTGGGGAGGGAAGATTGCTTTTTGACTGTTCTGTGTCACGTGTCTTGCCTGATGCTTTACATGCATTTTATCTTCAAATCCATATAATAATTTGAATGTATTTTATATATGGAAAAACAGGAAGTCGTAAATTTTTTTTATAATTTTCAGTCATAGAACCAAGTGGCAGAACCAGAATTCAGACCCTGTTTTTCATTATACAATACTAAAGATTTTGAAAGATTTAAAGGAGAATCCTTTATTTAGAAGATTAAATGTCTTCACCAAGATAAACTTAACTGAAAGGAAGGATGACATGGGAGGTAATACAGTGTCATGGTTAAGAGGCTAGCTCTAGAGCAAGGCAGAGCTCAAACATTAATTGTGTCTCTTACTTGCTCTGTGGTTCAAGCAGTTAACATGATGGTATAATATGCATATAGCACTAAGAATGGCATTTGGCTTATATTAAGTGGCCTCACAAATGGTGATTATGTGATGAGCTTGACAACAGTACCATTGGACTCAAAAGTGAAATGTCTGAGGTTCTGTCTGTAGCTCTACCACAGATTTACAGTTTACTATTTATATTATTTAATATTAATATTTAACTGAGAACCTACTGTGTGACAGTGTTCCAGGCACTGAGAAAAATATGTATGTTCATATTTTTCATAAATTGAAAGCTGTTTCATTTATTTATTTATTTGAAAAAGATCTTGCTTATGTAGTCTGCCCTGAAATGCACAGTGTAGCCCAGGTTTGGCATCAGACTTCTCATTCTCTTGCTTTTATTTGCCTCTGGGATTATAGGTATGTGTCACCACACCTACTATATCCAGCTGAAAGCTGTCTTAGTCATCATCCTATTAATCAAGAATTATTAAATGGCAATGAGCGGCATATCAGCAATCATGAATGATTTGAATCTTGAGGTTGTATTATGCAGTTGAAATGGGTAATTCACTCATATTTAAGTAGTAACTAATAATTCTGCTAACCAGAATTCATTCAATTGCTATGTATTTATTTTTAAAATCTATCAGTGTTCTGATGTGTGATGTGATGGCATAGTGTTTCTTCATTAGTTAAAATACTTTTGGACTAGAGGTATGGCTCAAGTGATAGAGTGCCTGACCTACAAGCATGAAGCCCTGAGTTCAAACTCTTGTCCCACCAAAAAAAAGTAGAAAGAAAAGAAAAAAAAATGTTTTCAATGAATTACAGTCAGTCCTCATTCATGGATCCACACTTATTTATGGATGTGTATTTTCAAATCTGTCTACTTGCTAAAATTTATTTGTAATCCCAAAATCGATATATGCAGAACTCCTCCTCCCCTCTTCCCCTGGTTCTGAGGATGGAACTCAGGGCCTCTCCCATGCTAGACAAGTGCTCTACCACTGAGATTACCTCTCCAGCCCACTCGCAGCACTTTTGTGGTCATTTGCAAACATGCATAGGTGTTTCCAGGTAAGGTTGAGCAAGGCAACAGTCTGTCTTCCTGTTTCACCTCTCAGTATAAACGAGGTCTTTTTTCATAGACTGTTTAGTGTCATGTTCCTCATATTTTTATGCCTTTTGTTGGTGATTTTGCTGTATAAAATGGCCCAAGTATATTGCTGAAGTTCTGTCTAGTGTTTCTAAGCCCAAGAAGGCTGCAGTGTGCCTTATGGAGAAAAATACATATGTTGGATAAGCTTCATTCAGGCTCGAGTTACCATGCTATTGGCCACGAGCTCAATGTTAATAAATGAATAATGTGTTAAAAGAGGGTTAAATAAGGTGTTCTTAAACCTCACACAAAACACACACAAAAAGTTACATATTGATGGATTGACAAATATGTTAAATCCCCTCCAAGGTTTGCAGGAACCTAATGTATATCTCTCCTAACAGAATAGTTCAGGATTTACTAATTCATTGTTGACAGTGGCCTTTTCAACATAACTATGACAAAAAAAAAAAAAACCGAAACACTAATTGGCTATATATTCACAATTACTCTAATCGGAGATGGCCTAGTGAGCAAATGGGACTGCTTCAAAGGAAGGTCTTATGATTCATTTATAATTTCTATTTAGGTCAATTTTGGTCTCCTGTTAAGTTAATAATGGTTGATACATAAAAGTTTTCTCTTTGGAGCAAAATGAAGCATTCTAAGATTCCTTTAATTCTTCTGGATGTTGGCTTATTGTGCTCAACACTAAAAGACTGAAAATATTAGAATCACTTGAGTGTATGGTTTTTGGGTATGGTATATTTGGAGGTATTATAATTTTAGTTTTTAATTTTATCAAGGTGCTTTTTGTATCAGTGGTAGCAACTGTGGACTCATTCCTATGGAACAGGACTCATGCTTGGCATTTTTACGTATAACATCTCTGACCACAGTACAAATCCTATAAGGTTTATATGGCTATATTCATTTTATTGATGAGGAAACAGGTTTCTCAGAGAGGTTGATATCCTTAAGAATACCCTTTGAGGAGTGGAACAAGAATTCAAAGCCAGGTCTCTTTGTCTCCAAATCCTATTTCTTACTACCTTTCACAAAAGCCTCATAGGTAAGCTTACCTTCAGATATTTGACAGAGTGGTGAAAAATAACTTATCCTCAGACCTAGTTTTTTTTTTTGGCCATACTGGAGTTTTGAACTTGGACTTTTTGCTTGCTAGGCAGGCAATCTATCATTTGAACCATGCCCTATCCCTATTTGCTTAGTTTGTTTTTCAGATAGAGTCTTTTCCACAGGTTGGCATTGAACTGCAATCCTTCTTCTTCACCTCCTGAGTAGCTGGGATTATAGGTGTGTGCTTCCATGCCCACCTAGATTTAACTTTAATTACCCCAAATTTTAAATTATGTACATTTGTACAGAAATATTTGTTTGCTGATAATTTTATCATTTTTACATGTTTTGGAGTGTTCTTGACCATCTGTTACATTTAGAACCTTGATTCAGGAATGAGAATCTTAGTTTTAGTGAATTGGATCTTATAAATACTCTGATCTTGGACTTTTCAAAATGTTACTGCCAGACATCTATACTTGCATGTTTATTGCAGCCCTATTCACAAAGGCCAAGAAATGTAAACAACCTAAGTGTCCATCAACTGTCAAATGAATGAAGAAAATGTGGAATAATATTCAGCCATAAGAGGATGAAACCTGTGGTTTGTGAGGAACTGAAGAATGTATGCCCGTCACAGAAAGACAAATACCACATGATCTCATTTATATGTGGATCCAAAAAAGTTGAGCCCATAGAAGTTGAGAGTAGCATGGTGATAATCAGAGATGAGGGAGAGTAGGGGAGGGGGAAGGATAGGGAAATTTTCATCATTGGATACTAAGATGCAGTTAAGTAGGAGCAGTAAGTTCTGGTATTCCGTCTGAGATAATTCTGTTACTCTGATTGGAGCACTTGTATGCATATATCAGAACATCACACAGTGCCCATAAATATGAATAATTTTATGTGTCGAGAAGTAATTTTAAAAATGAGACAATAATTGTAACCAAAATGCTATTAGGTAGATTAGAAAGTATTTTGGAAGGATTTGAAAATTTTAACTTATTAATATACTTTACCTTTTCTTACTTTAGTAGGAACTCGGGGAGTGAGCTACAAGTGTATTATGCTTCACCCAGAAGTTATCAAGACTTCTTTGAAGCCATCCGCAGAAGGGGAGACACATTTTATGTTGTGTCATTTCGAAGGGTAAGTTCATTTTGAAAGAATAAAGCAAATAGTTTTGAATGCCTGCTGTGTACAAAGCATTGTGTTGAATGCTATGGAAGATACAAAGATGTAAAAGATTTAAAGCAATATAAAATTATGTGAGTTGAATAGTCTTAAGTGATGTGATTCCTGCTTGACTTCACGCTAGTGGGTATTTGATGAAGTTGAACATGGAACTGATGTCAAGCTATTTGTTCACATTTAGAAAATATAAGCTATGTATTGGGTTTTTATTCTTTGTCATTCTGTACCCATCTTGTTTGTTTATAACGAAAGAGTATTAGTACTTTTGTGTCACTGTGACGAAATACCTGACATAAACAACTTAAGGGGAAGAAGGATTTATTTTGGCTCAGGTTTTAGTGGGTTCAGTCCATCACCCCTGGTTTCTGGGTTGGTGGTGAGGCAGAGCATCATGGTGACAGGAGCATGTAACAGAGGCTACTAACCTCAATGGCAGACAGGGAGCTGAGAACAAGGCAGAACCTGGAGCCAGGTATAACCATCCCAGGCCCACCCCAAGTGACCTACTTCCTCCAGCCAGGCCCCACTTGCTAAAGTTTCCACAACCTCCCAAAATAGGGCCAGTAGGTTAGGAGCAAGTATTCAAACATAAGAGCCTGTGGGGGACACTTCATATCCGACCCATAACTAACAAAGGAAAAGTGAAAACAAGAACTTTCTATTTAGGCCTTTTAAACCAGTTCCTGTTTGGTTTTTGAGAAATAGACTTCAGAAATACAGGCTTAAGATGAATCGTGGGCTGATTAATGTATTAATTGTGGAATGTTTAGATCTATGTTTCTGAGATTTTCTGTTCCTCTTTCCTCTCTTTTTCATCAAATATTTACCCTTGCCAGTGAATAATGTGTTAGATAATCAGTCAGGTCATGCAGACATAAATGTTTATTCTAGCATTTTTGAGTGTTACAAGTGTTAGACTAGCTGGGAAAATGCATAGCTATTTACATTCCATTTACTTTTCTTTAAAATGACAATATATTCTTCATAGAGTTGCCATGTGACTTTCTCTTTAGAGTGCTCTATGCTAAACCAGGAAAACATAAATGAGTTAAATTTTTTTTAGTGATTTGTAACCTAAACCAGTTTTTAAAAAGAACATAGGGGTGTATGGTTAGAAATAAGTGCATATTGACTATAGAATAAGTAATTTATTCTCAATTACTGTTCCACTATCACAGAAATTCTCAGTTAACTTGTTAGTTCTTTTCAAAAACTATAAATATCTAGCAGCTCAGGATTTCAGAACTAAAGGATTTTGGCATCTGATGACTAAGAGAACAAATGTTTTATATATTTTCAATTATTAATCAAATATGCTAGGAGATTTGGCCTAGCCAGATCTTTAGCCATGGTGTCTTATGCTTTGTGCCTTTTCAGAAAATTCTTTGTGCTTACCTTATTCTCTTAAACAGTTGATATATTTCTATGTTATACTCAAAGATCCTTTTTAGCAGCAAGCAGACAGCTGAGAACAGGATTTTGGCAAAGCTCCAACTGTATTGGCTGATGAGAACTAAGTATTTGCTTTCTTATTGATATAATTATGTTTAAAGTGAGGGGAAAAGTTAACTTTTAAAAATGGGATCTAGCACTGTGTAGAGACTTGATGGGTGTTGTGACTAATGAAATATATGTTATGGAACCTACTGCAGAACAATATTTTTAACACTCAAATAGTCTTAAAAATAGTTTTTCTTAATTTTTTAACTAGTTCAGAATACTCTATTATTTCGTCAAAACAGTGTAATGTACATTAGAAGCAAAAAGTGTCAAGCAGTAGATTGAAGTCAAGGTCAGCAATGTTTCTCTGGGGAAAAGAACATGTTTTTTTTTTTTGATAGAGAAAATAATCTTATGCTTAAAGGGATGGTGTTTTAATAAAAGAAGATGAATGGTGTTCTTTTTTTAAAGTATATGAATTGTATTTCTTGTATGTATAAAAAGCTGTTTCTCATTAGTTTACTGCTAGAAAATTGTTGATTCCCCCTCCCACACTTTGAAATGTAGGCAGACTGTTGACTATTTCTTATATTCCATTTGAATCTTTAATTTTCTAATTTCTGATTTATTACTTTTTGGCATTTTATATCAAGGAAAATAAAGAATAAATCTGAATGTAGATAGCCGCAGTTATTACACATCATCCTTTTTATTTTTTTCTTAGTAGCAAAGAAAAGGAAGTTAATTTTATTGCGATGACTATTCATGATGTCATGAGACAGGAATGTAGTTCTTAAATACCTGGATTTTTCTTTTTACTCTTGGTAAAATGAAAATATAAGAACTAATGAATTACCTCATGCTTGGTCTTTTCTTCCATCTTTCAATGTGAAATACTTTCCTAACAGTTTCATCAAAAAAGCATGTGGCATCACTACTTATATAGGAGAATGTAGACTTTTTTCCTACCTACCTTATTAATTTCATTGACAGAAATTATTGCACTGGAAGTTCAGGAATTTAGAACTTCTGAAACCCCAAGTTTCTGCTTAGCATGAACTAAACAGCTATAATGGAGCCAATAAGCAAGCCATATTGTTTTCTTTTATAATCGGATATATATCTAACAAAATGTCTTAATATCTAAAGAAGTAGAAGTAGCCATTGACTGTTCAATGTATGGGAATCCCTCCCACTCCACATTCCTGCACCTTTTAATCTCATTACATTTGAGCTGCTGACATTGTTTTCTCTAAAGTAGGCATAGTCTTGGTTAACAACTGAGTTCCTATTACAGGTGAGCAAGAAAGAATGCTTATGATCCCAGAAGTCTTAACAAAGGCTCCAAAGGTTTTCTGTTCTTTTGACTTTGCTTTAAAAGTTTTTACTTCCAGCAATAAACTATTCTGCTATCTTTGTTGAGTTCCAGGTATTCATAAGTTGTTTTCCTGTAAGTATTCTGCCTTTGCCCCAGCTCTGACTTCTTTTATGATTGGAAGGGTGGTAATGGAGAATAGTTTTTATAAGACTTCCAAGTCACTTTCAATGTGTCATAACTGATACAAGAATAAGAAAACATCTAATTAAGTTTTTCTTTTTTTTTTCTGAATGTGTTTGTATGATAGTCTGGGGACAGAGAGTGTAGATTAGAGAATATAGCAAAATGAATTCAAGATCATGGAACAGAAACAACATTCTCAGGAAAGCTAAATAATATAGTGATTCCAAAGAGGGGGAAAAATTGAGAAGAAAGGTGGGGGAAATAATATTAGTTTAATCTATCATTCCAATAAACATTGAAATACTATCTTTAGATGCTTCTTTCTTTCTTAGTAATATCTAGAGAATGAACTTTTAAAAATCTTCCTACTCCAGGAAGTTTTCTAACATGTTCTCAGATGGTGCACACTTGTAATACCAGCACTTTGGAGGCTGAGGCAGGAGTGCGAGTTTGAGGCCAGCCTGGGGTACATATTGAGCATAAGGCTATACTAAGCTACATAAAAAACCCTCTCTCAAAAAACCAAGGGCTGGGGTTTAGCTCAGTGGTAGAGCACATGTTTAGCATGCACAAAGCCCTTGGTTTGATCCTCAGCATGGCAAGAACAGGTTCTGTTTGATTCAGTGGCCTATGAATGGCAGTTTGTCATGTTATCTATACTCATTTGATACTTATTTTTCAACTGAGGTGGATGCCTACTTCTTTTGGGACATTTTTTATTTGTTTTATATTTTCTGTTTTCAGTATCTGTCCCTCAAAAATATATACTTTAAATTGTCTTTTCATTTTTTTAAAAAACATGTATAATGTATGGAAAATCTGAACTACAGCTTATATGCCTGCCTTAAGAGATATCTCTCTCTCTCTTTCCAAATATTGTGTGTATTTTAGATACACAGATATGTTATAGCACCTTATTTGGGTGTTTCACACCTTGATTGCTTATTAAACATTTATGAGTATATCCCATGGATATGTATGGAGTGCAAGGTAACCTTAAGCAGTAGATGTGTGAAAATTAAAGAAGCACAGGAAACCGGCTCAGCACCCACTTATCTGACTGTGCTTGTGCTTTATGGACTGGAGTGTGCCCTAGTTCTCACGGAGAATTGAAATAATAACTTGCTTTCATTCCTGATTTAACATCAACTCCACTGGTTCTGCTTTAGTCTTTTTCACACATTGCTGGGTTGACCTCCCTGAACACAAAAAGGGTCTAATTGGGTAGTTAACTGGTCACTATCTAGTGTGAAGAACTGTTCTGGCAGTCTTGGTTCATAATCTGTGGTCCATTCATTTGTGACCAGGGAAATAAGGTTGGTTTCATACAGAAGAAAGAACCTTGAGCCACAATTATAGAAAATGTTTGAATTAGCATAAACTTTATTCCACCACATGGCCTGTTTTATTTTATTTATTTTATTTTTTAATTCTTCTGCAGGGCTCTGGTGGCTCACACCTGTGATCCTAGCTACTCTGGAGGCAGAGATCAAGAGGATTGCGGTTCAAAGCCAACCATAAGTTCAAGGCCCAGTACTGAAAAAAAAAAAAAGTGTATTTTCATATTGTTTTGCTTAAAGAAATTTGAATCTGTTTTACTGAGCCAAGAAAACATAAGCAATGCTGAGTCAGCAGGAAATTTAGTTAGCTGTGACCTCTCTTTTGCCATTTATGGTTGCTCTAGTCAGGGATGCATCAGCAGTTTTATTTCTTGTCTCTGATTCTAAGCTTTAGAATTAAAGAAATAACCTGAGTGAAAAGCTTAACAGCTTTCTATGTTAATACTAGATTTTTTTTTTTGTGGTACTGGGGCTTGAACTCAGAGCCTTCACTTTGAGCCACTCCACCAGCCCAATTTTTTTGTGAGATGGTTTTCTGAGATAAAGTCTTTTGAACTGTTTGTCTGGGCTGGCTTCAAACTGCAATCCTCCTGATCTCTGCCTCCTGAGTAGCTAGGATTACAGGTGTGAGCCACCAGTGCCACGCTTTATAAATAGAATTTTGAAGTATTCTC